ACAGGAATCTACGATTTAGATTACGGGTTAGACACTCACATAAAATTTACAGTTCAGTTTGTGCATGTCAGTGAAGGTCTCATGGCCATAGCTTAGTTTGTATCTGTGAATATGCGAACATAGATTACACATTTACATTTGAAACACTCTATATATTCAAATCTGAGTTAAAGTAACCGGGTAATACGCACTTCTGCACTCACCGTGCGCTCGCCCAGGTTTCTGACGCGACAGTGTAAGAAGGCTGTGGCGCCCAGCTGCACCGTTATGTTGCTAATTGTGTTGTTGTCAAAATTGGGCTCCATGAGTCGTTGGTACTCCTCGAAGTTTGAGTACCACAGCTGCTGCCACTCCGCGTGGCGGTGCGGTAGCTCACGCCTCCCTGCAACACATCCAGATATCCCTTTAAGGCACATCGGTAACTATATATACCACTTGCTACAACATGCAGTATCTCTGCATTTCGGCCAGAGAGTGTACGTATGATTCTCATAATAAACATCGATTATTTCCTTAAACAGCGTTAACCAGATGATATTTTTTAATGGTGAAGTGCGGTGTTTTCTTTGAGGTACGGGATAAATTTTTAAATGCCAGAAGGGTCTTACTTCAAGGCAATGCTTTCCTCTGCAATGCTGGTATCTGTCTGCAAGTCGACACGGCGTCACAACCAGGAATACGAAAATTGACATCTCGTGGTACAATAGTTTATAAGGCTAAATGAATCACTTGTCATCAGCCGCTAATATTACAGCCAAATGCAGTAAAAGTAGTTTTAAAATAAAATGGACGTAATTTGTTTCCTCGCCAATATGGAAGTCATTCAGATGTCAACGAAGCTGAATCTCTGGTATCATTATTCACGTACATATGATACAGTACAGAAAACAGTGAGCTTGTCGTTAATATAAGATAACAAAAACCAACTTCAGTCAACGGGCAGTCATATTAAGCGCACTGAACTATGGTGCAGTGCGTTTGTCTTAATTCAAAGTTGATGAGATACAGCGTAGCGAAGGGAAATAGCGAGTGTTAGAACTCTTATTATCCGCGGTTTGAATCCTCTGCAACAGCTGATTTGCAGGTTTCTTGCCTGCGTTTGTTCCTGCAGACACAAATAGTTATTGGCTTTAATATTAAGTTTTTATAGCTAGAAATCTGTCGTTTACAGACCCCATACGGCAAGAAATTACCTTATTTTATTTTTGTTTAACCAAAAAATTAAGTAAAATTTATACAACGCATGTATTTCAAGCAATGTTCGCAATCATTATGAACCGACTTTGAGAAATTTGTTAAAATTCAATGTAAGGTTTATGGAAACTGAGGAGTGTACGTAAGGACGTAACGGGACGTGTTTGTCTATGCAAGCGCAAACAATTATATTACGTTCTTTTCCACAGCAAAGCTTAAAATCTGAAAAAAGGAGGAAAAATAATTACGAAAATGTAATTTAAAAGTACCAAGTATCATAGATGTCTAATTCTGATTCAAATTTAATCTGCCAGGTTTATAATATAACACGCAGATAGCACACAGAAATTTTATTTCGTAGACAATAAGAGATGAAAGTTTAAATAACTTGTAATCACGCCTAGAAATTTTAAAGGGACTTCAGTAATAAGAGACACGTGGTGGAACCTTCCAGTACCAGCTGTGTCAGCATAAATTCTGCAAGCAGAGACAACAGCTAGAGAAGAAAAGAATTTCATAGACAACAGAATGGAATGTGTTTCTACGCAAAGAAAATGTGCTGTATGAAACAAGTCTGTAGTTACTAATATAAGGGGCTGCAAGACTCAGGACCTGATTCAATATTCTCCCATGAGGAGCGCTGGTAACGTCTGACGAACTCCTCACCGGAATATATTATTACAATAAAATATGCTTACATATTGTGAAGCCTAAGTTAAGTTTGGTAGACCTGCTGCCTTTTTTTGCGATAAGAGCCCGCAGAGGGAATGCAATATCATGATAATGTAATATTATTGTGAAGTCTACAGTTTAGTAGTCGGAGTTGGTACATTCTGGATCCAAAAAATATAGACTAGAAATGCCGTGTAAACGCGACTCTGCAAAAGTCTGCTTAGAAAGTAAAAAAATGTATTACGAATATATTAAGGCGTATATATCAGCACGTTTTGTCTCAATGCATTTTTAATACAAGTACCTTAGTGACTTTGAAATTAATTTATTAAAGATAAGACTTCATTTTTTGCAGGACTGAACACGCCACAGATAGACTGATGCATATCATTGCACATTTTCCTTCGTGTACTAATTAATAAAAACACACCGTTTCGAGAACATATTATGCTTCCATCATCAGATGAAACTGCAGAATATAATCAACAGCGTCTTTGGAAGAAAGTTAATATCGAGAACACTGAGGAGATTGGAAATTTTTTCGTAAAAATACAGTTTTTTACGGTTAATCGTTGTTAGCCTCACGCTCAACCCCCAACCTGGAAAACCACCCCCTGTCGGCTGTCCACGACTGCTTATTCAATATATTTGCAGCTAACCTCCATAACTGTTGGCCCAAGACAGGGACCCTTCGTTTTCCCTAAGCCACGTAGTTAGTTAGTTAGTTAGGGCGTGCAGATATAAACTGGATTCATCTGGCTTAGTATACAGACCAATGGAAACTCTTGTGAAGACGTTAATTAGCATTCCGTTACAATAATATGGTGAGAATTTATGGGAAGTTAAAGATAAGTGTCTTCTGGGATTTTGCGCCGCGTAGTCTGGTAGAAGTGAACCGACGTTTCAGAGATGTTTACTGCCTCAATCGCCACTCATCTTCCTGATGATGGGTGCAGTAAACACCCCCGAAACATCGATGAAATTATACAAGGCAACACAGGGAATTATCGTAAAAGACGGTCATGTCCACACTTGATGCCATGAGAATCTGGTATCTGATAAGCTTCTCAATGAGGACGCTGTTTCAAGGACTTAGTAAGGACCTACGATTTTTATGTCTAGATTTGAATCAGTGGCGGATACAGTGGCGGATAAACAAGAACAGACCGCGAATGAGGGTTTCGAAAAGGAAATTTTGTTCACTAAGTACCACAGGAAACGTCGTGTGGTTCTTACAAGCTTCGATATTGTCACAAGTTAGCTCACACTGGCAAAGACATACAGAACAATTTCGGTAATGGACATTCACTCAAGCAAAGTAATAAGTTTCGAAGAAGTGACAAACTGCGTGCGAGAGAGAGGAAGATCCAATATAAAAGAGTAAGAGATAAATTAAAGACAAAATATAAAATGTATGCATAGATTAACAATTCTGTCCTTCGGGAATGGTTGAAGTGACGTCAGAGTTGTCTGGGATCTGGTGACTGTATGACTAGGTGATGACGTAACTACGAGGATCCCCCACACGATTGAGAAGCTAACTGGGGACTCCCCATATACGCACGAATATGCTAATTCAGGTCGTCATATGAAGTGCCCTCTATGGTTCAAATTGAAATGTGCCTATAAATCGTAGAGAGACTCTGTTCATCCGATATCGAGTAGTCACATACTCAAATTTAAATGTGCATATGAATCGTAGAGAGACTTTGTTCATCCGATATCGAGTAGTCACATACAGACGAACAGAAAACGTAAAGCTAATGGGCGCATTTATTCAAGTTTAAGTTGCGAAGTAAACCTAAAATGAGAAGGAAATGTATCAGTCCGTTCGTAGTTTTGCTGTATCGTAAATAGTTTGTGCCGATACAATCTCAGAATCATCGCTCAAATTATAGGCTATTGAGAATTTACACAGGCAAATGGATCTTGAACGGTTCACATCAAAGACAGTTGTTATGTGTCGCTACATAAACGCTGTTACCATAAACTTGTAAGAAACACGTGTTCACACAAATATAGAAGGGTTAAGTTAAGTGACGGGCTTGAAATTACTGTCAGAAGTACTTTTATGCGCGTAGGAGTCTCTGGCGAAGTAATTCTGGCCGATTTGCCCTTCATTATAGGCACGATGGAAGAAACATGCTATATACTGGAGGTTCTGTTTGATGGTACTCGTGGGGAAGAGTTATGATGCTTCACCGAGGGAGCCTTTCTTATTTTCCAATAAGGCACATCTCTCCACAGTGGGGACTCAGCAGGGCGTGTGCCCTTGTCAAGAATGAAAGTAAGATGAACCAGAAGGAGTTGGAATGAAATGGAGAGAACATCTCTCGGCACATAAAAAAGTTAAAGAAGGCCGCCCCTCGTAGCGTGTAGGGGGTGGGGGAGTGGTATAAGAAAGGAAACCGCGATATTTCTTTCGATTTTCAAAGCCAGTTCATGAGTTATATATATATATTCGCATCTTTGCATGTGATTCAGCTTTCAATCTAGTCTTTGGGGATATTTCTTTTATATTCTTGTTTCGTACCACAGGGAACGGGGAAGTTTTGCTTTCGCTCGAGTTCGATACGCCGACTTTTTGTCTTCTGCGCGATGGAATTATATACAAACACTAGACGAGTCTTGTGGACTTCAGTTCTCAAATCACATGCTAAGAATAAATCGAAATATTCGGCAAATAAAAATTTCCCTCTTCAAATTTATGATTATAAAATATTTCGGCCTATACGTATGTCCCCTAACCGGGCTGAATAGTGCATTACGGTGATAGTCAGTTAGATTCTCCACCGGTCTGCCTGACACGCGTATTTCCGTGATTTTATTCAGTTTATAGAATGCACTGAGATACCTTAAATTAGGTCATGATCGCCTCATTTTGTATCCTTCAATAAATTATCCATTAATATTCGTATTATTACACGATGCATAACATAAGCTACTTCCAGCGTAATTAAATGTACCACAAATAATAAACAAATTTTCTTCGGAAATAATTTCACCTTAGATGAAAGAAAAAACATCAAACCATGTATACAATTAGAAGATGGCTGTTTTATGAGATGTCGCGCCGTGCAATCCTATAGAAATTGATCGACGTTTCGGATGTAGCTATTGTCTTCGTCAGGGCCATGATGAAAAAGACAGTAAGTTCCTTCGAAACGTCGGTAAACTCGCCATGAGGACCTGATATCTCACCAAATACACGGTGATAGTAAGAGATGAAAGGACCTCACTTCAGCAGTTTTGTGTTTGACACAGAACTCGGATGGAAGGTTCAACCCCCTGTCCGAAATCCGACATTCTCCCTACTTGTTCTAATATTAAAGACCCTTGTTCCTAGCTGAATTCTCCAGACATGAATAATCTTTGTTACTAGCAAATCCCAACTGTAAAGAGAATCGCAATTTAAAGTACGATCTTAGCAGACTCCGGACTCCAGAAGGGTCGTTGTTTATCGTAACTTATTCATAACTCCATGCATGGTGCAAATTGAAGTGTACTAGCAACACA